CTCCATGCCGCCACCCAGCCAACGCGGATTTACTCGATATTTGGCCGTCCCGGGCAGCGCGTGTTGTCATCATGAAGCCCGAGGAGCCAGTGGAGGCACCCCGCGAAGACGAGCACTCGGAGGCGCGGTTAAAGTTTTCCGTCGTAAAGTTAACGCGTTATGGCTTCGTAAAACGGCGTGCCGAGCCGCTCCGCCGTGTGCCCAGCCCGTCACAATGCCGGCCTGCTTGTTGTAGTCCCGGCCTCCCGGCGGTGGCGGTGCCCCGCGTGCGCCGCTGCGCCTCCCCGCGGCGCGCCACGCCCCGCTGCCTGCCGTGGCTGCCCGGTGGCCACGGCGATGATACCGCACCAATTTCTACGAATGATTTAATTGCGAGGTGCCGCCGATCCCTCCCGAAACTGTGCGAGGTTTATGGAGCCGCCACGCCCGGCCTGGACCGCCCTGGACTGTCCGTGACGCCCCCCGCCCCGGCCCGGCCAGGCCTCCCCGCCACGGCAAGCCTGACGCCGCGTTGATTTGTGAGGGCCGACCTGAACGGCCGCCCAGGGAACGCCCCGCCCCGCCCCGCCCCGCCCCGCCCCGCCCCGCCCCGCCCCGCCCCGCCCCGCCCCGCCCCGCCCCCCCGCCCCGCCCCGCCACGGCCGCGAAGCGTGCGGCGCGCCCCAATATTGCTTGAGTCTGCAGCGCGCGGCACCAGCGGCACGGCGGCACGGCGGCACGGCACTGCCCGCGGTCCTGCAGCGCGATCGCCATCCACATCCACCAGGGCTGCGCCAGGGCAGCGCCAGGGCAGCGCCAGGTCGCCAGGTACCGGGGGCATTACTCATCCCGGAACGGCCGGCCGCGCGACAAAGAGCGCAGTGAGTGCAGCAGCCTGGCCCGCTCTGTCTCTCTCGCACCCCTGGTGAACGCTCCATGAGTGCGAGAGAGAGAGAGAGAGAGAGAGAGAGAGAGAGAGAGAGAGAGAGAGAGAGAGAGAGAGAGAGGGCAGCGCGCCAAGCGAGGCCGTTTGACATCCGATAGCGGAGGGCGCCACGCTGCGGGCGGTTATCGCGGTCCTTCTCGGCCACTTGGATTGATTCCGCGTGTTCGCTTCGCGGCTTCGCGGCCTTCTGCTTCTCGCGGTTCTCGTCCTCCGCGGCGGTAACCAACAATTAAGCCATTACCGGGGGCGCCCCTCGACCCCCTCGTTGCCATGCGCACCGCCAGCACACTGCGCCACACCCCGCCAACGCCAAAAACAGTCTCGAATACAAATTGCTTTGGGAGGGAGAATAATTAGCTGGCTGTGTGCGGTGCAACTATCCTCTCCGCCCCCTCCCCTCCCCCGGCGGCACGGACAACACGACGTGCGGCGTGCGCGCTGTCCTGGTGGATCTATTCGGAGCGGCTTCAACATACACTCCGATGCGTTAGCGTACTGCTGTGCGTGGGTTCTGCTCGCCTCCGACTGGCGTGCCTCGACAAGTTGGTCGGCACCGAAACGGAGCGAAGAGACGAGCTCCTGCGACTGATTCGGAGAGTCCTTTTCGTCGCTATGTCTCTCTCGCACTCGCGTTGGGCGTTCCCTGCGTGTGCGGGAGGCAGAGCGACGGAAACGAATCTCGGAATCAGTCAGTCAGTCTGCAGGCCGTAGCTCTCTTCTATGCCGGCGGCGGGAAGGTTCCCCAGTGCGTGTGTTTGATGCGACGGAGGACGGCGAGGCACTTCAGCAGCTCCTGCAGATGGCAACGCTTCCACACTCGCGGGGCCCTTGGGATGTCCTGGGTGCTGATGGTCCTGGATGTCCTGGATGTCCTGGGTGTGCCGGATGTGCTGCGGGAGGAAGCGGGCCGAGTGAGTGGTCATCATACGTCGCCGCGACGCCGCCTCGCCGCCCGGCACACAGTGGGCCAGAAGACCGGTGGAGGCGGACAACACTCTAGACGCGTTTTGAGCTCCAAAGTCGCTAAATGGGACTCGAGCCGAACGTGTGACCCCACCAATAATGGATTCCTCGTTCGGAGAGCAATCCATTGGTGCGGTCACACGTTCCGTTCGAGTCCCATTTAGCGACTCTGGAGCTCAAAACGCGTCTAGAGTGTTGTCCACCTCCACCGGTCTTCTGGCCCACTGTGCGGCAGGACGGCGGCAAATGGAACGGCAGCGAGCACTTTGCGCGCGCTTTTTGGTTCCCGCTCCCGCCGCCAGGGGGCGACACTGCTAGCTGGCGCACTGCCGCCGCGTCGAGCCGCGCCGAGTGGGAGGCGGTTCTTAACGCCTTTTTCTGCTACCCCTGTTACCGCAAACCTTATTGGGCCCCGGGGAGGGGGAGGAAGAGTGGTCAGCGCAGCGGCGGCCGGTCGGCGGCCGGTCGGTGGCCGCCCGGACTCCGGACGCCCGCGCAGCGACGCGCAGCCAATGTTGCCAACCGCCAAGTTGGCAGTAATCCGTGCCAAATGAGCGGTCGGCCCGCCACGCCGCCACGCCGCAACACTGACGGCGGCACCGTCAAGTTGGCGACACTACTTTGCAGTTTGCAGGAGGGAAACGCGTTCCGTGAACCACTGCCCCCCGCCCGTTCGGCCCGTGACAAGTTTACTACGGCTGTCACCGGCATCGGGCCCTCCTCAAACTCCCGCCCTCGCGGCACCAGCAGTCTCATATTTTACATTGGCGCGAGGGACGGAGCCTTTCGCGCTCCTGAAAAAAATGCACTCTCTCCAACCGTCCCACAGCAAGTGCAGCGTGCTCTTCCGGGCCAGCGAGTGCCTTGGACACTGTGACACTACGCCGCACTCGAAGAGGGCTGTGCCTCTACCGCGCGACTTGCTTCCCCTCCACCGCACGTCACGGCGGGAAAACATCGCGCCAGACACCGATTCCGCGAGTCGTTTTCGTCGCTCTGCCTCTCTCGCTCTCGTGGAGGCGTAGCACGACCGACGAAAACGAATCTCAGAATCAAGGAACAGGCGCTATGCTGAACGGCACCGCACATGCCTGCAGGCATATAGGCAGTCGAAGGGCGGCCGAAATGTGGCGAAGCGATCTGGCAGCGCTCCGAAACGATGACGTGTCCCTCACACCTTCCACAAAGGCAACTCCGAGCCGTGCTGTACCGCAGGGCGGCGCGCGGTGCGGTCATGGAGCGGTGTCGCGCGCAGCCACACACATGCGTCTCGCGTATTATGACACCAACATCTTTATGGTTCCCCTAAAAAGAACCGTATTTTACAGGGTCGTATATTTGGTGGGCCGCACGCCCCGCCCCGCCCCGCCCTGCTGCCCGTGAATCCCGACGGGATCCCGACACTTAAATCACCTTTCGGCTTTCGGACGGGACGACGCGCCGGGACGCGGGACGCTCCAATTTCGATTCGAATCCGACGCCTCGCGCGTAACGCTGCTGCCGTGCTGCGCGCTGTTCCGGTGTTTCGATCGGAGTTCGGCTGGCGGCCGTGAGGTGGCGCCAACGGCCTGCCAGACTTCCAGCGTGCTGCCAGCTCTGCCGGGGCGGCTTCGGACCGCTGCGGACCCGGTCGGACGATAATTGATGGTCGCCACAAGACGTATTGTTTCTGGGACCGCGATCGCGATCAATCAAGCGCGGCCAAACCTCGGGCCGAGCAAGCTAGTGGCGGTTTAGGGGGTGGGGAATCCCCCCCCTCCCCCTGCTCATCCCCCTAATGCCTGCCGCACGCAAAGCAACACACGCCCCATACGCAACGCGGCAAGATCTACGAAATCCCCTCTTTAGACATTCGCCTGGGAGGTATGCAAATTGCGATATATTCCACCTGGAGGAGGGCAAAAAGCTTCGCTTGACACCCCTCCCCACTTTTCAAAATTTCTGCGCCCCCTACTGTGCTACAAAGCTGAGCCTGGCAGAGCCAGGCCGAGCGCCGAGTAGGCTGGTGACAAGGCTGGGCTCGGCGACAGTTGGGTTGCCTACCACCCCGGCGCGCGCAGCTCCCCGGAAAAGTGCCGTTGCTTTGTTTGGGTGGAAAGAACGACGTGAAAGGAGAAGGACGGACCGAGGGTCGGGAGGATGAAGGGGAGGGGAGGGGGAGACCCCAGCCCAGACTCGATGCTCGGGAGTTGGCGATGACAACCCTCTGCCCTCCTGTGTCCGCTTCCACGCACTGCTCATGTCTTCCCCGCCACTGTGTTACTGTCACACGCGGCATGCTTGGGATGGGGGGAAGACCAGGGACGGGAAGACCTCGAGACCCCTTCCCCCTCCTTTCCCCCGGGCTACCCCGGGCCAAGCACAGCTGTTATTCCCAGCACGATTTCAATTTCACTTTATTCGTGTTGCACGTGTATTCTCCCTTGCTGTGCGTGTGCACTGCTACAAGCGCTTTCTTGTTTTTTTGAGACCTGGTGTTATAGCTGCTTACTCGAACGCTAGGTCTGCTGAGGCCTAACAGTGCTGATAATGATGGTGACTTGTCATTTCGAAAATATAACGCTGCGTGAGGAGACTGAGGGACGAACCAACATATCAAAATAGGTTGACGTTGTATTTAAAACTGAAAGTTAGCCAGCAAGCGGATGGCGTTGGCGACACGTAAAGGTGGGACTGTTACTTTTCCCATACGTCTTGTTTAATTTCTGAGCGAACTGAAATACATCATTTTTTGGGGGAGGGGGAAAGAGGAAAGGGAAAAGAACTAGAAAAAAATGTTATTTTCTTTCTCTTTCAATTGAACTTACTTTGCTCCCTTTGCTCAAACTTTTACAATCAAGTCTTGAGGAAGGCGGCCAGGAAAGCTTTTGTATTTGCCGCCAAAATTCACAGCCCCGAAGATCTTTGCCAGCAAGCAGTCATTGCGGCAATTATTGGGCTAAAGTGTACGCCTTATTATGAAGAAGTATACTTTTCTTGTTTAAGTTGGCTCTTGAAGGGGCTGAATCTCGGTTAATACCAATCAAAACATAATAAAACAGAAATTTGATGGAAAACCCTGGCCGTGCAGCAGGTCTCCTGTGCAACAGCGCGTGTTTTGTCTGGTGAAGAAAGGAATCAAGTGTGCTCGTGATGACTCAAAGAGAAGGCTGCACTGCATTTTGAGAACTGAACTCAGAACGATTCTCTTTGGCAATTTGTGGACCATTGTTCCTGCTCCCACTGTTATCGACTTGTTTTTCCTGCCGTCAAGGTATTTTGTGGCATTCGGAACGGATGAATTCGTTTCGGTATTCAAGTTTTGTGGTCGCATCGCAAACATAACGGGTATTACGTTGTTGTCAAGTAGGGAAGAATCTGATATTTGTGTCGATTCTTTTAATCGCGACTCATTTCTATTCGATCTGAGTGGTGACTCATTTTATGAGCCCTCTTCTATTCTGTGGCTTTCAAGTGCAATCTTGCATTTTGGCTTACCCTAGGAGCTTGCACTTGTTGTGGGACAGCCTTTGACTGTCTGATATGTTTTGACTTCCGCCTTCCGCTTAATCATTATCATTACGAAGACATATTGGATTTAGGCGAATGTTTCCATTTTCCGACGTGCGTCAGTCCTCCACTGCCGAATTGCCCCTTTCACACTGTGAAACTGGAAACGTTGTTTTTCTAGTGCTCGGTCTGTCAGTATAACCTACATTGTGCCTTGTGCTTTGTTTATCGAGGGGGGACGTCGATACATCGCGTCATTCTAGTGTTCTAGTGCCTTTGTCTTTGTGCAGTGCATGTTGCCGAGGGGCTTGTGCCGTTCTGTGTTGCGCATACCTTATCTCTTAACGCCTGTTGTCACGCCTGTACTTTTGTACTTGGTGACAGTTGGTGTCAGGTTGCCTATTTACTTATCTTTTCATTGTTATTTTAACCATGACTGTCGTCCCTGTCAAGTTCCAAACCAATTAATAATTTTTCTTGATGTGTTATGCTGAATTGCAGAATGGCCTCTTATTTCTTATGGGCGTTCATTCTCTTCGTTCTCTGAAATTTTTCCATTTAATTTCTTTCAGGCTTTTAACGATCTAAAATGGCTTCAAGGAAAAAGGTACTCCTGAAAGTGATCATTCTTGGCAATTCTGGAGTTGGTAAGACATCCCTTATGAACCAGTATGTCAACAAGAAGTTCTCTAACCAGTACAAGGCCACCATTGGAGCTGATTTTCTCACCAAAGAAGTTATGGTTGGTGACAGAGTGGTGACAATGCAAGTAAGTTCTGTTAAAATCATGGACTTTCTCATTCCTCTTGTGTTATTCTGGTTCATTTCTTTGTATTTGCCCATTCATTTATTCTTTTATTAGATTTGGGACACTGCTGGTCAAGAAAGGTTTCAATCGCTGGGTGTTGCCTTCTATCGAGGAGCAGATTGCTGTGTGTTAGTTTTCGATGTAACTGCACCCAACACATTTAAAGCTTTGGATAGCTGGCGAGACGAGTTCCTTATCCAAGCGTCTCCAAGAGACCCAGAGAACTTCCCATTTGTTGTGCTTGGCAACAAGTGTGACATGGAGAGCAGAGTGGTAATGCTTTTATTTTTGTTTTCGTCATCTTGTCGGAATTGTGATGGCTTGTAGTTGTAGTTTTATTAATTTGCATCATCTTCAATAAATTTGCCAGGTATCCACCAAGAGGGCTCAGCAGTGGTGCTTTAGCAAGAACAACATTCCCTACTTTGAGACTAGTGCGAAGGAGGCGTTGAATGTGGAACAAGCATTCCAGACCATTGCCAAGAATGCATTGGAGCAAGAATCTGAAGTTGAGCTGTATCCTGAGTTCCCTGACCCGATTAAGTTGAATTCCGAGAACCGTGGGTCAAGGCAGGATGGCTGTGGCTGTTAACATTCTAGGTAGTTTATGTTCTAATTTGAATCTATGTGAAATTCTCTGTATGTCCATCTCATCTATTTCTAATTGTGCGTTTCCTTTTCACAGAATGGCTGCAAAATTGGTTCATGACATTTAATCTGCCTGCAGGTCAGATGAAGAGCTCTACAGAGAAACCTAAATCATTAAGGCATTGTCCTCAAGTGAGATGTGTGCGTACATTTTACTGAAGCACAGTTGTGGAAGAATTAGACGGTGACCAGGGAAGAGATATTTTGTACACATCATGTTCCTTTTTTTTCTCTTCTTTTTTTTTTTCAATCAATAACTTTAGTATGTTTATGGAAATTAACTCTCTGCCGTAGTGCTTTATGCACAGTGATATTTTTGATTTGTAATATGCAGTCACTGGTGTGGAATTCAGGCCATGTCACTCTATTTTTCCTCCTTCGGTTTCATGAACTTTTAGTAATTCTTCCTGTTATAAATGGCTTAATTTACAATATAAACCAAAGTGTTTTTCTTTTGAAATAATTTTTCCTTAACTTTTTAAACTTTATTTTGATGTTTTTGTCACTCTTTCAATACATTGCAGCTTTTCACAAATTTTTAGGTAAATTGAAGTTTATCTTTTCCTTTTATGAACAATCTGAACATCTTTTATATTTTATCAGATATGAATTCCAGTCCATTTGCTACAAGTTCTTATCATGAACATATTTGTAAATATCCCTTTCAAATTGTTTTGTGAGGCCATGTATTATATGAGGAAGACCTGCAAGCTAGTATGCCTCTGCAGTGCTGTGATGTCTTCTGAATATCCTACTGGATAGGTGGTTATCCACAATGCAATATAACAATGCCTGTAGGTTTATTGTTCTGAGATTGTTTTTATTTGTTAATATGTGATACTTGGAGATAATTTCTGGTAATAAGTTTTGTTTCCCCTAGTTGAATACCTGTACTTTACCTCAATCAAATTTATGGAGGTAAGAACTTTCACTTTTAATACTTTTTATTTACTTCTCATTGTGTGGGCAAAAAAACCAAAGGGGCTTCAGCATATTTTCCAGCCATCCCTTTTACTTTACAGTAAAAAAAAAAAACAAGGAATGAATCCTTGATTGTAAGTTAAGTTTAATTTGCTATTGTGAAATTCTCTTGATTTCTAATGAATGTGTTTATTTTGCTTTGGTGATAAACAAGAAAATGCAGAGAACACTTCCCCAGATTTTGTCAGTAACCTTTTTTTTTCTTCTTCATATTATTTGTGTAAAGAATTTCAGTGGGACTGGAGACTACTCACTGCATGTCGATTAACATTTTCTTTGTAATTTTCACATATGCTGGGTTGTCAAGACTATTTCATACTTCTGTTGCTCTGAGTAAGATTCAGTTGTTTTTCTTCTGGAGACTTAATTATTCCTAGGTTTTGATCTGTTCAAATATGTTTGGTGAAATTTGTCTCCCATCAAGAGATCAGTGATCATCTCTTGCCTAATTGCACCTAAAATTATGGAATTTCTTAAAACCTGCATGACCTGTTGGTGTTTGTTAAGTCTTGCTTATTAGTTTTCTCTTTAAATTTCTGTAATGTTGGTGTTATGTACAGTTAGAGGTCTATAAACCATGTATAATTCGTATGGTTGTTTGATTTGTTATAAGATGCTGTAGCATATGTCTAACGCTCTTTGAGAGGTGAGCAATTGGCTTGAAAAGGTTGGTGTGTGCATGTTTGATTTTAATCTGTTCTATGCTACACCATGTTAATGTTCTCAAATTTGCTCTGATGTTCCGTTTGGCCCTTCTCTCCATATTTTATGTTTCTAGTGATATTTATATTATGGTGAAGTGACTGCTCTTGTGTATCCCAACCTTGCATTATATCTAATCCAAATCTTAGACATGCAGTATACATAAAGCATGCTTCTCTTAAATTTTGAATGACAGCTTCAAATATTGACATTTGAATTTGGCTTCTTATTGTAAGAGAATTGAATAATAGGTACATTTGTAAAATAAGCATTGTGTCATCTTTTATTTGTCCTGAATCTCCACCATGAACACACAGTACTTGAAGGTTGCTGACCGAAGATGGCTTGAAATGAGCTAGCCAAACAATGTAAAAGCTGCAGTGCTTTATTCTAACAATCCCTCAAGAGAGTCCAAAGTATTGCCATCAGACTGGCACTGTGATGTAAGTAAAATCACACTGGGCAAAGAGTTGGTAGGATCCAAGTCCTGCACACAGTGTTCACTTCCAACGTTTTTCAACATGTCAATGGGCTCTTGTAGGACAGCATCAGGTTTCTTCCCACCAAAGACTGATTTCTCAGAATCAGCATTGCTCAATGTGATGACTGTCGTCCGCTGGGATGGAGAAATGTCCCCTGCTTCCTCTGGTGGAACAACTAGCGACAAACTACTACTATTTAAGGAAGAATGGGATTGTAATGGTTGCAGCCCACATGTACTGATTACAGAAACATTTGATACTTTTTCAGGTGGATTCAAAAGATTATCATCTGGAACAAAGATTTCAATACATCCATAATTTAAAAAAATGCAAGACCACAAGGCAGCAAGAGATGAAAGGGAGTACCTGGTGCTTACCATTATTACAAACCGAAGGCATTGATACATAAACCTCTTGATTCACGGTGGGCATGGATTGATTGTTCTCAACAATAGGATTAACTTCTTCCTGTCCAGAGGAAATTTTGAAAATAGTTTGGACACCATTTTCAGAATGGATCAGCAAGCTACCAGCACTACAAGAGTCTGAGAGCAGCTGCAAATCATTTTCAGAGTAAACTGGTTGGTGATTCTCAATGTTCTCTGTTGACTCTATCTCCACTCCCTTTGATTCTGGTGCTACAGTGAGAATGCTGGATGTATCAAAGCTAGAAGGGACGGTGATATATGTTCCAGGAACCAAATCAATTATTTGGACGGATTGCTCATGCGACAAATCAGACATCATGGTCACAGTTGCTTCCATTGGAAGATTTAAAAACTGTGAGTCACTGTCAATATCTCCTAAGGCATTCTTGATTGCATCAGCCTGTAAAAATGTAGTCCAAATATAATCATAGTTTTTCAGAATACATATCAAAATGGATATTTTCTGTAATATTTACCTTAGAAAGATTATTGCTACTTGCATTGTTTGATTGATGAAAATGTTGGTCAATAATCTGTCGACAATGATCTAGTTCTTGCTGCTTCAAATATAACTGACGCTTTGCCTCTTCTAGTTCTTGCCGCTGTTGCTCCAACTAATTTAACATAGAAAATTTATAATTATCAAGAACTGAAAAAGTGTATGGTAAATAGTTTCAAGTGTCTGAAATGTATTTGCTGACATATAGGACATGATCAAGATCCTGTTTGAGCACCGATGGTCTGAGGCCAAGCCAAACCCAGATCTGAGTTCAACTGAGTCCAAGAGTCAAACTGAGTTCGAGTACGGGCTCGGGGCAGAACCGAAACGGCCCTGATGTCTTAGTTGCCGACATACTTGCTGTTTTGGGTCATCCTCTTGCATTTGTTCAGAAGTCTGAGTCTGACCAAAGCAGGCAATTAGGTCTGTTTGACTCTGTTCAACCTCTTCAGTAAAGGATTTGGTAGGCTTGCGAGGGTTCTCCCGGTGCCACTTTTTCAGACCATGTTCTGGTGGTTCTCGGATTCCCTTAGTAATTCGCATCTGGTGACTAACAGAACTGATTGTGGTAGGTCCACATCCTATGAATAGAAAATCAGCATAATTCTGATTAGAGATTATGGTACGTTTTTACCAAATGGTGAGCAAAAGTACAAGTTTTACCTGTCACCATTGAAATGAACTTGTAACAATTGGCTTTTGTTCCACCTGAAGGAGTTAGCATTTCTGCCAGAACTCGTCTTGCCTGTCGTTGTCCTAGAGTTGCTTGCTTCCGCCATTCTTCTAACAGGGCGGAATGGGTCAATGCAATGCGTGAACATTTGTCTGAACAGCACATGATTGAACCCAGCTCATTTATAGGCTTTAGTAGACCCAAACAGTTACGTCCAAGCTGCCTTGATACTCTTGAGCATCTGTAAAGGAAAAATGACAAGATAAAAAAGGTATTGATGAATTTAGGTCAATTCAGAGAATCATCATAATAGTTATTACTGATTAGGTGTTGATTTAAGTCTTTTATGAAGGAAATTATTTGAATAAAGAAGAATTCGCTGGCAAGCTCGTTCACACAACCGCAGATTTTCTCTTAGGGCTTGTCTTGTATCCAAAATAAAATGTTCATATTCTTTTTGACGATGTTTCCGTTCAGTTGGGTTGATGCTGGTGTCTTCTTTACTCCTCTGCTCTGAATCCTGCACAAGGATTTCAAACACCGAATGTACAGAAATAAGCATTTGCAACTGCATAATACAGAATCAATAGATAGGAGCAATATCTCACATATTCTGGAAACAAATTTTTTCTTCTATTTAAATCGCAAGCAGTATTGAAAAATTGCAACAAATATTCAACTCTACTTTCTAAACTGCTTTCATCTTCACCTAAAAAAAAAAAGAAAACCACATTATTTAAGTAAATTACGACAGATAACAGGTATTTGATCTTAAAAACGATAAGGCTACCTGTAGATGATAAATATGTCTGAATACAGCCACAAGGTTTGGTCTTGTATGCGGGACAAAACAGTCTTTCAGCAGCTGGCTTCCCCACTTTTTCAGCAATGGATTTAGCGAAAGCTTCTGCCTCTCTTAAAAACATAGCACGATCTTCGATGGAAATTGATGCCTGTCACAAAATAAAAGTTGTTCAGACTAACTTCTATCTGTAAACATTGTTTGGTACAAAATTTTAAGCCCCACTCACTTTGTTCTCCTTTGGAGGGCGAGAAAAAGCAAGGCCACAAGCATTACAAAGGCTTAATATTCTGTTGGTTGATGGGTCCACTTTCTTTCTGGCAGATTGTGTCTTTTTGTTCTGGTCAATCGGCAAGCGACAACGAGATGGGTCGACTACACTTGTTGAGCCACATTTGTCACATGCAAATGAGTTTTCTGGTGACTTCTCAGTACAATGATTTTTGTCATACTGAACAGATTGCTTTTTCTTTACTTTGACCCTCATTGAAATTTTATGCGGACTTCTATTTGGTTCTGGGGAAAAGGGCCGTCTCTTTCTTCTAACTCTACCTACAGTGCTAGGTTTGAGACTTCTCTCCCCATAATCTACTGCCTCATTTGGAGATAGAACATCAACTACAGGCAAATCGTTCGCAGTGCTTTGGTTCGATTCTGAAAGGGAGAAAAGATGGAGATATCAAAATAATACACAAAGTTCATAAAATGAGTGAATCTTTTGATGTTATAAGTGACCTTCAACTTTCTTACCTGAAATTTCCATTGTCAGTGTCAGCGTCTAGCTTAACACCAAACAGCAAAATTCTAAAAACACAGAAGTGAAATGTCAAAACACGCATAGAGTACGCACATAACCAAAAAACAAAACAGACGGCGAAATACAACAGCCACCAACCTAAGCACGAAAACAAACAATAATATTCCACCGATAGAAATTTTGGTTATGTTCTAATCATCATATTTTAGTTCAGTGGGGTTTACCTCTTTATGAATGAAGATGAAAAATAATCAATGAATATAGCAACAAACAAATTAGCCGTAGTATGTACATGCGGATGTTTTCGTTTCTTTAGTTGGCTAAGTTGACATACAACAACAACAAGAAGTCTACGTCAATGACAACACAACATCAGAGCTTTTAGGCCCTTGTCTTTGGGGAAGTTTTGGGCTTGCTAATGACCCAATCAAAGAACCAGGTGACAGATGGTGTGATGTAAAAATATTTCATATTCAGTTCATCACCTGTGGCAAGGAAACAGTCTCATCATGGGGCTCACAGCAGTCGCTTTTCTTGTCTCCGTCATATTTATCGGAGCAAACGTCTCGGTAAGACCGATTGTTATGCAACAACTTAGCTTTTTCCACTTTTTATCATAACACTTAATTCATAGTTTTAGTTTCGAAGTATTTGCTCTGTTATAGTTTTCCCCTGGGAAACTATTTGTGGTTTGACAGTCCGTAGGTTATTGTCTTAAGTGTTTTCTAAAACAATATTTTTATTTAATTGCTCTTCTTTCCTGTTTTTCAGGCCCAGTCTCAGAATTTTAACGATAATCGGTGTATATGTCTTTGCCCACACCTTGCGCTGCCAAATGTAACACATCCACCCCCCTATATTAAAGATGTTCCCCCTAACCTATGGTACGACATGTTTCATTTCATGCAATTTTGGAAATGAGTCAATTTTATTGGGTCAAACCATTAATTTGTTAATTTATTTTGTTTCAGTAACTGTGAAAATGTGATTTTACCCCAAATTTCCTTGAAGGAGGAGAAAGCAGCAGCATTTTGTGTGCGGTGTGACTGCAAGTATGAAAATAGAAATACAGCAATTATTAAGGTGAGACCTCAGCATTGGATTGACAGCAATTATGTGGCATCTTTGATGTATTATGTTCTTGTCTCCCTTTTTGCTGTATCTTAATAATTTGCTGCAATTTTCAGGTGGTTGTTATAATTGTGATTTGGATAATCAGCCTCCTCGTGGTTTACATGCTTTTCCTTATCTGCCTTGACCCCTTATTAAATAAACGAGCTCAGAGCAGCTACACTGAGCACACAAATGAGGTATGTTTGTCACACACTCAGCCACTGTTGGCAGTCTTGATTTTTTAAATGTACTCATTTTGTTCCTCTGACAATTGCAGGAAGATTTATCTGGTGGTGAAGGAGTGTCTCATGCCATGGGAGTTCGTTCGAATGTTCTTAATAGAGTAGGCCATCAACAAGACAAGTGGAAGAGGCAGGTACGAGAGCAAAGAAGAAACATTTACGATCGTCACACTATGCTTAACTAGATTGTCTTGTAACAAATACTTATCCCCACATAAGATCATTCCAGCTTGTATCTCTTAATCCATACTGGTGTTTTCATTTCCTCTCCCTCACTTCCTTATCATAGAAGTAGCTTTTTCTCATTTTTGTGAGCAGTCATACTTGTTTCTGTTTCTTGTAAGTAAAACATAGAAATCCAAACTGTGTTCCTAATGTTTGTAAAATAAAGGAATAATTAAAGAATGCCTTTACAAATGTGACTCAAATAAAACATTTATTCTACACCAGTTCAGTTCTATATATTGAAACGCTGAATTTCACTACGGTTGTGAATAAATGCATCGACTTGAGCTCTATCTTCTTCAAATACAGGATCAAATGGAGGGGTAAATCTAGGAGGCACAGCTATCTTCTGATCTTCATCATTTATAAAGTGATTAATTCTGCACAGAATTGGTGCTCTTTCTTTGCCGTTGATGGTGATGTAAGCAATGAAATGCTTGCCTTGCTTGTCAGGATCAGGACCAGAAATTGGTTGTTTTGGAAGTTCAATGCAATCTTCTGGCACTACTATTCCTGCCTGTCGAAATGCGACTCGTGCATGCCACTTCTCAATCTAGAAAAACGGTTAAAATTCAGATAGAAACTGACAGTAAGGAAAGACACTTGACACAATTGAATATAAACAACACTTACCGTCCATGGGTTTTTCATATTCATAAAGAAGAATGCAGTATGCTGTGATATGCAAAGAGCAGTTTTCTGAGCGGAGAGGGTGCTGAACTGAGCATTGTTTGCAACCTCCTTAATTTCCGCTGCGTACTTGAGCTCATTCTCGGGACTGGCATAAACAGCATATTGAGGAATAAGAAACTCGGCGTAAGCCTTGTCACCAGGTATGTTGAGTTTGGTGCCTTTCACCCCCTTCCCGGGTACATCTTGAACCAAAATAACCTCTACGTCGGGCATGGGCACCGTCCCAGGAACGATTTGGTCGTACACATAGTGCCTTGACCTAAGCTTGCGACCAGGTCCATTCACTTTCCGGAGCGGCACTTCATGTCGCCGGTGCACAACTGGCACAAATAGTTGAGTTTCGTCCAAAAGAGGAATCAGCTTCGAAGTGTCAGGCACAGGGGTGCGGGATATATGTTTGTTCCTCACAGGTACATTGCTCATAAAAACACTTTCAGACGGTTTAAGATACTGTCGAAAAAGAACTCGCAACATATTGGAAAGGTCGGTCAAATGCTTATGACGCTGTTTTCGCTGTCATAAAGGTAAAACCAGTTCAACCCAGGGTGCAAGGAAGAATACAAGCAGACAGCTCTAGCAGACATCAGACAGCACTAGTAACTTGTATATGCAGGTTATGCAAGCGCAACAGAAAAATAACTTCTCTTTTTAGCACGAGGTTCAAAGAGAAAACAACATAAAATTATTTCTCATCACTTAACAGACTTAATACTCATAGACACCGTTCGGTTTACCCTTTCTTTGTCGTTATGTTCGTTGTTTAGTTTCTGAAATTGTTAAATGGGAAAGTTGTCAGCACGTCATGATTCTAACTTATAACAATAAAATGTTAATGGTATTTGTCAAAGCGCTGATCTTTTAAATGCATAAATCGTGAGTACAAATATATTTCTAAAGAATTCACTATTTACTTTAACATATCAATTCTACTGAAGTACTACATTCATGTCAATATATAGCTGGTAATTTTGTGCCGGAAGAGTGGGAAGAGTAGCGACTCACTCACACTACCACACCACCACACTGCCCACACACCCACTACAAATCTTGCCTCCCCTTATTTCATGGCTCCGGCTTCGGTCACCGATTAGCGAAGAAATGCCATAGTTTGGTTAATGCTTTCTGATTGAAGTTCATTCTGTGAAGTAAGTGACCAGCGACACAAATTCTTGCTGTTTTTCTGAGGAGCAGTTCAGTTTGCCCTGTGCACTAACGCAGTCTGATGGACCTCTACCCTCTATCACTAATATTTTTCCTATTATTTGTTTTGATTTTGATGTTTGATAAACCTTGCTCATTATTGTCTGGCACCTCAGCATTTTGCCACTATCAAGAATTCTTCAGTGTGCTGTACTGACATCATCTTAAATCTTTCACCTACCCATTCCTTCCCATGCTTGCACTCTGGCCAAATGCACCTTGACTTATCTAAATGTAGGTGCCAGTGTCAGTGTCAGTTTGTGTTTACTAAGTGTTCCAATTGCTTTCTGCTTTTTTTCTACTGACAGTTAACTACTTATCTTAACGGTAAATTGTTAGTAGAAAGATTTTGTTTGAAACGGACTTTGACCTGGATAATCCATTTGTTGCAGGTAATACATTTCGCACACAGTAATAGGACTTCAAGGGCAGCATGGCGTGTTCCGTTGACAAAAGTCTTCTGCCTATGAAGGCGCATTATTTCCTCTTCAATGCTGGATCTGCACCCATTGTACCCTTTTTACCAGTGTATGCTAGGCAACTAGGGTTCTCGTCATTTGTTGTTGGAACAATATACGCTGTATTGCCAATCTTTGGAATGCTCTCAAAACCACTGTTTGGAGCTGTCGCTGATTATTTTAAACAACAGAAACCACTATTTTTGCTATTTCAGGTAAGGCAATCTAGTACCTGCCGATGTTGATAGAGTTATTACACTGACTTGTAACCTTTTTCACATCTATTTATTGCAGCTTCTTTCAGCTATTGCTCTATTCACCATCCAGTTTGTCCCAGAAGTACCAACGAAAAACCCTGTTGAACTTCATTGCCATCAAGAAACAAATCTTGTGATGTGTAATCCTTTTGACCCAAGTGCTACTGACCGTGTAGCCAAAGAATCACAACGCAATGGAACAGTTTTATGTCATGTAAGAAAGAACATGTTTTACTTCTGAAGTCTGTAGCTCTTAGATCAAAAACTACAAGGTTATTTTGTTCACAGGTTGAATGTGATATTGGTCTCAATAGTAGCTTTTATCAGGACCTGTGTAAAGATTGGAATTACCGGCAGTATTGTGCTGCTCCTGGGAATTTCTCAAAAGAAATAGCTGCTGGTTTCCTGAACATGTCAATTGCCCCAAGCGTTCTTCAGATGACCGTAGAGTTGCCCTTGGCCCATCATGAAAGGGTAATGTCATAGCTGTCTCACCTCTATAACTCTACCTTGTTCTGTACTAATAATGCACATCAAATTAACTCTACAAACTTACATTAAACAGGTCGGAAATTGCACTTTTTTAAAAGTACATAATGCAATAATGCCTGATAAGACACCTGTCATCCCATATTGCAACACAGCTTTACAAAAACTTAACTGCAATGCTGTTTGTGACAATTCTGCTGTCATGGATCTGATAACAAGACCTGCTGATGAAAACTACAGCCCAGCTATGTCTTATCAATTCTGGCTTTTCTTCTTTCTCTTAATTGTGGCCTGGAGTAGCATGGCTGTGGTTGGCAGTGTTGGAGATGCCATTTGCTTTGGCATGTTGGGTAAAGAGACATCATTCAATCTTCCATCTTGCTATGGATTTAATTTAACCCAATTATTAAATAATTTTCTGGTTTGAGTATTTTTATCCTTAATCTTTTGTTCTTCTTTTCCAGGTGATAAACCAAATCACTTTGGCCAACAAAGGTTGTGGGGAGCTGTTGGATGGGGTCTTTTTACTGTCATAGCTGGTTTTGTTGTTGATGAGCTTAGCAAAACACAATTTAAGAAAGACTACACCATAGCATTCTATTTTGTTATTTTCAATGTTTTTCTAAGCATTGTGGTCTCCTACCAGCTGAAGGTAAGTTAACTTAAATTAGCCCTCATTTCTAAGCTTCAGGCTGACAACATGACAAGTCTGTTTATGAAGTTTCTTTTGGTTTATAATTTATCTCATCACTTAATTTACAGTATACTCAAACACACATATCGAGGAATATTCTGCGCGATGTTGGTTTGATGTTTTCTGAAGCACGAATCCTGGTTTTCATTGCTTGGTGTATAATTGTTGGTATTAATACAGGAATTCTTTGGCAATTTCTGTTTTGGTAAGACCTTTAATTTAAAAAATTATTAATAATGGTGTCCCAGTTCTAAACCTGTACTAGCCAATTTTATTTTTCCGTTGCAGGCATCTTGAAGATTTAGCCGGAATTGATAGAGACTGGATCAAAGCCTTAGAAGGTTTAGCTGCTGGTGTTCAATGTTTTGGTGGTGAACTTCCTTTCTTTTTCCTATCAGGTTAGATTTTGTTGTGATTAGCAGTCTTCACATTTTGCTAACAGCGTAGATTCTATCCTCATTTTGGTATGAATCTCATTTCTTTCAGGCTGGATTATTAAACGACTGGGTCATGTTCATGTGATGACTTTGGTTTTACTTTCTTTTGGCATTCGATTTATCCTATACTCCGTTTTATCAAATCCTTGGCTGTGCCTTCCTATTGAACTTTTACAAGGTGTCACATTTGGTCTTTTCTATTCTACAATGGCATCATATGCAAGTATTTTGTCAGCCCCAGGAACTGAAGCAACTGTTCAGGGCCTTGTAGGAGCTGTTTTTGAAGGAATTGGTAAGTTGTGAATTAAGTCTCTTGCCTTATAAAAATTCTGATGATTATTAAAATTTGAAAATTCTTGTGTTTTTCTTCTAGGAGTTTCTTTGGGAAGTTTCATTGGAGGTGCAGTATTCTATGCCTATTCTGGTGCAGTCATGTTTGGAATATTTGGTGGGTTGTCCGTTGTCTTTGCTCTTCTTCATGCTGGTATTCAGCTTCACCTTGCGAAGTTACCATCATCTCCTGCAGGAGGAAAAGGTATTTCAACTTTTTTTTTTCTGTAAAGAATTTTTATTTTATTTTTTTATTTTTTGTCTCAACTTGAGTATGTCTGAATCATTGATACAGCAAACAAAGAATTAAATGAATGGGTATTAGAGGTCTGATTTACTGCGTACATGGATCTTACTATCTTTGGCGGTACTAAACAATGTGGGTGATAGTGGTGAACAATTCTAACACATTCTAACTGACTTATCTATGGGTACATGGAGAAGGTCTCTTTCTTGAGAAATCTTGAAATTGAAAATTCTGTATTATGAGGGGCTGGACCGGGCTGGACTTATAATGCACATGTGTTCTTGTTTTCCCATGTTGAAAGAGGCTAAAGTTTCTTAATAGTGAACCTTATCAAGCCTAGTAGAACATAGTGTTTCCTGACCTGTATCTGCATCAGTTTTGTCCATAGATTATATTGATACCAAATTTTACAGGTATCACACATTTTTGTTAATATTAGCTTTCTTCGACAAGAATTTAATTTTTCACCTCTCTAACCTGTTCTTGCAAAAATTTTAAATTCTGTCTGGTTTTTGCATGAAATTTTGCCTTATCCATACTTAGGTGATGAGAAAGCAGCATTCTATGATTTCAAACTGTTATATTGCTTCTTGCACTTTCTTTCAGAGAGTAGTGTGAGCAATATGCCCCGTGCCAATAATGCTGAGCAGTTAGAGAGGTTTGTGAAGATCGACCCGTGTGCTCATGACATAGCATGTTGATATTACTGTTTTTACTACCTATTTTATTTGATGGTGACAGTTGCTGAGCTTGTTTGGTAAAGTAGGTGTTTAGTGTGCTTTGTAGATCCATCAGACTTATGTTGTTATAAATTTACAGTATGGAGAAAAAATTGCATTATGTACAAACAGTGCATGTGAGAACAACATTAGTTAGCAGTTAGTTAATATTGATAGAATTGTGCATGCTTACTTGTCCTTGTTTAAAACGCGACCCAATACATTTTGTTTATCTTTTTGTTCCACAGATAAGCATGTATTTCTCGTAATCATAGGAAAGTGGTTGAAGCCATACCAGCAATAAACTTGCATGTTTCAGTAGTGTACTTTCGCTTATGGTTGGTGTGTGGTTATTAATTTCTTGAAATCATGCGTTGGGACCTGCGATTTTGAACCTGGCTTCTACCTATTTTATTCTTATGTGCCATGAAGCATATAATTGTTTTGATTGTGTGTGGGACACTAAAAATGCCAACTAAAATACTGTTTTTTATCTCTTTGTCTTTTTTTTTACAGGCTTCAAGACAGTTAGATATGCACCTCCAAGTGAAGCTAATGACGCCTGTGATGACCAGCAAGTTCTCACTTCAACATAGAATTTTAAAGAACCATTGAAACATAAATTCATTTTCACTTTCCTGTTAGTCAGTAATTGTTCCTTTCTCTATTAGAAATATGCAGCACAAACATTTTTGAATGTGCTGAATTGTATCGACCATCAGCTGCATTCTATTCTTTTTTTTCAATTTTATTGTTCTTTTCACAGTTTACATTCATTCCAAAAATTAATATACAGGCCCATCTTTGCAACTTAGATGTGTGCGTGCGTGTGTGTGTATGTGTGTGTGTTTGTGGAGTGAGAATTCATTCTTCCTTTCCACACTAGATTTTCTTCATATGTGAATTGTTTGTGGTATCCAGGTTTTTGGCCCAAAGGTACATTGTGTGTGTCATTTTCTCTCAACAAATGACAGTATGAATGTGTGATCTTCTATGGCCCTAGCCTTGGTGCAAGTGATACACAACTAGAAAATGCCAATCTCTTGGTCACTATAACTAATGTTTGTACAGGGTTTTAAACAAATAAGTTTGACAACTGAAAAAAATTAAGTTTATACAATAGGAAGCTCTTTTCTTGAAGAAGAAATCATGTTCAAAAGGTGAGATAATCTCGGGCTAGTTTTCTATTATAATTCTAGATTGAAAACAAATGAATCAAAGTTTTAGTTAAATCTGATGAATGGGTTGAACTCATGCATGGATGGCACAATGCAAATGCTGTTTCTTTCTTTACCATGGTTTTCTTATCCTATTTTTAAAAAAAGAATTTTTGTAATGTGTGTTTTTAGTGATTCCCTCCTAATGTATTTCCTTTGCAATAAAGGAAAACCCACAATTTGTATCTTGATTTAGAGAGAGAGAGAGAGTGTGTGTGCGTTTTTAGTTTCCAGATTTTAATAGAAGGAATGAGGGATTTTATTTACAATTTAAGCTGGGGGAAAGGAGGGGGGAGGGGGGAGGGGATGTGCTAGGTACGCCTTCGGCGCACGCGCTGAGGGCTTGCTGTAGGGGGCAGGAGTTGAGTGTGACTGCGTGTGTGTGTGTGTCGCTCCATCAGGTGCAGGGTGCTTTCTATCGCTTGGCTTACTCATCTCACTGTATGCCTGCCTTTTCCTTCCTGCTTCCGCACGTTCCCTTCCCCATGCCGTCGCGTCCGGGCCGTGTGCACACGTTCCCCCCGGGGGCTGCCATCGCTTTCTTGTGGAAGATGATGCCAGCCGCTAAAGACGGACACGTCGCTCGGTCTGAGTCTTGTGGTTGGCACAACCATGGGACTGCTGTCGAGCGCTGTTAGTTAAGTCGCCTGTATTATGACCACTGCTTGATATGTATGCTTTTCTGCCTTTGCATGTACAATGACTGAGCACTGAGCTCGGCATGAAGCCTGCACACCCCCTACGTGTGGGAGGGGCCGTCTTCACGCCTGCTTTACACGAACGACGCCCTAGGACGACGCCTCGTTCTAGGCTGTGCCTACGTGCCCGCCTTGAGCGCCCTGCATGCTCCACTCCACTCCAGCGCGACCCCTCGCCGGCCTCCCCAGTCGATAAGGCAGGGTGGCAAGTTCAAACCCCATGCCGCCGGGGCCAATTGGGGTGCCTGCAGTGCGTTTGGGTGTGCCCTGCATCGACTGGCCCAATGCTGCGGCTGCGGGCAGCGGCAGCTGCTTGTACCAAACCCTTGCCTTGCCTGTTGCACGATGCTTGGTGCTAGGTGAAATTCCTTGTGCTTAGATAGAGCTCTGCTTAATGCGCAGATGGAGTGACCTGGACGAAACGGTTGCAATCAATTTTCTCTCCCCTTAGTAAACCCTCACGCCCTTCAGGAAGGAGCGTGAGCGCAGGACGGTCTGGGGTGGTGGAGGGACTTGCAATGCTGTATGTGTGAAAGTACAAACACTCATTCCCCCTCCCAGCACTATGAGCCTAGATCCTCCCGCGACGCAGCGGGGGGAGCCGGTGAGGTGATAAAAGGTTACGCCGAGCTGGTGGTTCAAAAATGGCCCGTTAATGAAAAATTCTTTTCTAGGCTGATCTGTCAGGGGTTACCCGAACCAGCGGGGGCCGTAGGCCGTTAACCAAAAAATCTGATGACCAGGCCCCGGTGGCCAGTACCCCACCCCTCGCTTAGTACGCAGGCTAGCGGTAGCAAGGCGGAAAAGGAGGGGGACAAGATCTAATAATAATAATAATAATAATTTAAGCTGGGGGAAAGGAGTTATTTTTGTCACCAAAAGAAGCATGCCGTATAGACGTTTCTTGAGGTTTTTATTGTTGAGGTGAGTGCCGTGAATTACAATTCGGTTCCTTGAAATGTTGAAGGGAGGTAGGGGAAGGGGGGTTTATGTGTGCTCTTGTGTGGCAGTTTGTGTCAAAGAAAAGTGGAGTTCTCTGTCTGAAGTCAAAAAATCAGAAACTGTGTGTGCTTTCCAAAGTATCGTTAAGTGCATGAGTTTAAATTTGAAAGCGACCAATTATTTTAAAAAGTATTTTTTAATATTTTTTTTTATATCGATGCTAAAAATCTTATCTTTGCTAATTTGGCACATTACTTAGTATGAGAAAGACAAACATCTGACTAGTCCCATGTGTGTTGTTAATTATTCTTTTTGAAATCTTTCATGTCCTTTTGATCTTTTTTCCTTTATGCCATTGAAACCTAAACATCTATTGTGCGAACGTAATCATGAGGGGAGAGTTGTTGGTTGAGCAAAAACCCTCATGATGTTATTTGTACATTTGACTGTTGTCCTTTCTCCTTATCTTTTCTTTGTTATGTTTTCTCCTAGAATGGTTTTCATCTCATTTGTTAAGTAGTTCCTAATTTTAAGATATTTTACCAATTGCTCAATATTGTCAGACTAGTTATAATTGGATTATGTCGATGTTAAGTTAACCAGTTTAATGGAAAAGCTGTGTCTGTTGTGATAATTTTTATGAGGAGTATCATTTTGAATCCATTCATTGAATACTTGTTTTCTCAACCGGTGAAAGTTACTATAATTATTGTTGTGACGATCCGGGAAGTAAAATCCGTACTCGTCTTGTACGCCGACAATTAAGTGCCTTTTCTTTTCTGAGAGCTAGGTAACTTTTCTGTAAATTTATTAAGATCCCGGTAAATCCTTCAGATTACCTCATGTTGTCTCAAGTGTATTAAAAGGAAGTTGGCTGCTTCACGAGTCAGTATTATGTTATGATTTATTTCAAGAATACAAGTGACTTTGTTTTCCTATAGAATTGAAGTAATAAAATAAGCTTGTTAAGGAAATTGTAATCTTGTCTACAACGACCTGAACTCACCAGAAACCGAAGTAATGAGCTCAGCGCACAGATGCCGCCAAAGACGCCGAGTGCGTCCAGCGGTTGCTCCGTTGCTCCTTGGCCGTTCTGCGCTCTGTGCCCGGTGGGTGCCTCACAGTGGGCCAGAAGACCGGTGGAGGCGGCCAAAACTCCAGACGCGTTTTGAGCCCCAGAGTCGCTAAATGGGACTCGAACCGAACGTGTGACCCCACCAATGGGTTGCTCTCCGAACGAGGAATCCATTGATGGGGTCACACGTTCGGTTCGAGGCCTGTTTAGCGACTCTGGAACTCAAAACGCGTCTGGAGTTTTGGCCGCCTCCACCGGTCTTCTGGCAAGTCCACTGTGTGCCTTCTGTCTTGTCCAAAGTCCCCAGGGCCACCATTCGCCCAATCACCGCGCGGCGGGACGGCGGGAGTGGCGGTGGAGTGAAATGGATATAATATTCGAGAAAAGATATGCCAGTTGAATATTTATTTTGAGAGTGCCGAAGAAGCGAATGGAGCGGGGAAACTGTTTCCGTCCATTCATTAGGAACCGTTAAGCACGGAAGGGCCGGAGCGGGGAGAAGGGGGGGGGGGGGTGCAGGAAGGCGCACGACGAGTTTATTGTTGAAGTGGGGCGCGGGGCAGCGCGGGGCCGAGGCAGGCAGCAGCGGAGGCCAGGGAAGTTCAAGGGGCAGGGGAAGGCCCAGAAGGCCCAAGCAACCCATAGAGACATCGGGCCCGGCCGGGCTGAGCCGGGCCGGATGAAGAAAAGGATTCAAATTGATTCGTTTATTAGGGCTTTTAGGCAAAAGTTTACGCAAATTAAGAGAGCGAGGCCACCCTGCAACGGCGCACCGCAGCGGGCTCCGCGCCGCGGAGTTGAGGGAGGGGGCCCTCTCCACCGGTTGTACTGGCAACAATGGCCAAGTTTGCCGCCAAACTCGACGCACACAGCCAGGGCGGCCAAGGCAGCAACGCAGCAGTCGTCCCGCGCCGCCGCAGGTAGCCTAACGGCAGTACCGGCCTGCTGCCTCTTGGTCCCCCGCCTTCGGCCCCTTGCATTTTTAATGAGTGCGAGAGAGACGGAGACGCCACGAGCGAAATGCGGAAACGAAAATGGGATAGGACGCGGCCCGATCAAGTAGCGTGTGTGGGTGTACAGTGTAGGTGGTGTGTGTGTGTGTGTGTGTGTGTGAGCGTCTCGGATGCCTGAGGCCCCCAGCAGCAGCCCCCACGCCGTGCCCGCCGGCAGCCTGACCGGCCTTGGAGCCGCTCCCGTTCCTTTGAAGGACGCGGTGAAACGAACCGTGTAGCTTGGGCCTTGGGTGTCGTCCGCTGTGCCGCTGCCGCCGCTGCCTCCGTTCGCTCGCGGTCGTCGGAGCGGTGCGGAGCGGAGCGGTCTCAATGAGGGGGTGGGCGGCGTCCAGGCGGCGTCCAACTCGCTTCTCAACACAATCCCGCCCCGCGCGCACTCCTACTTGTTCGTCAGTGGAATTATTTTGCTCATTAACATACAGACGCTGCGGCTTGGCGAAAGCGGAGCTAGGGGGGAAGGGGGGGGGGGATGCGGACGGCGGGTCGGCCAATCAATGGACGGTACTCGTGGCGGGCCAGGCGGGCCAGGCGGTGAGCCGACCCGGGTGGGCCGGCCGCTGCTACCCAGGGCCTCCACGGGCCCCTGGCCCCAGCCCAGAGCACGTAGACGGCTAATTCGAGGCCAGTCGTGGAGGGGCGAGGGGTATCGCCGGCGAGCTCGCTGGCAAGCCGGCAAAAAGGAGGACAAGGAGGCCAGGCACGAGTAAATATCCCCTCCTCGAAGGGGGAGAAAACGAGGCGAGAGGGGGGAATTGGAGGGGGGACCGCAGAGTAGAGACGATTACAGAGACTTTTCTCTTCCGAGTACCAACAAAGGTAAATAAAAGACGAGCGCATATTTGCGAACGAGCGATTTTCAAACCGCCCCGCCCCGCTCCTCTTCTACCGGGTCTAATGAGATATTCCACGGCGGGCAATGGAGCGGGTGACTGCGACGTCGTTCGCGCACGTCGTCGCCGGGCGAGACCTGCTGCAAACAACACCGACTGCAGAAACAGGAACTCCAGCCGGCCCAGTGAACCAGCGGAGTCTGATTCCGAACATAGTGCTTCGTTGATTTTCTCTCTCGCATCCGGACAGAGTGCCCTTTGAGGGAGGGAGAGAATGAAATAGCAACTGTTGGGAATCAGCCTGGCAGGCCACCGCGCCACGCACGGCGGCAGCAGGCCCATTGGGTGCCACACCATGGTACCGCCAGGGCTGCCAGTGCGGGTGGTGGCGCACACAAGGCTGGTGGCGCACGGCGCTCTGCTGCGGGGGACTTTCAGGGACTTTGTGGAGGTGGACGCCGTGACGCCGGGCAGCGTTCACTCGCCCCCGGCCCGCCTGCCCGCCGCACGGCCAGCCGGGCCAGCCCGGGTAATATTGTATTGTGTACACTGTAACCGTGGTTACGGTACGGCGCGCTTGAAATCCCTGGTCGCTGGTTCGGTATGAAAGGGGGAGGGGGT